CTATGTAAATATGCTATACTATGATTCTGAAACTCAATTCTGTTGAAAAAGTGCATGTAAGTTCCCTATTTACTAATATTTGAGTCTTTCTAAATGAATTTTTTAACATTTTGTAGTCTGTGAATGAAGTGTAGTATTGTATGTAATAGTCAGTTTGTTGGTAGTAGGTCTTGGTTGTCTGTATTGATGAGTATATTACGAAGATAGTTCTATTAACTTTCTGCTATTGATAATATAATGAATAGTGTTGGAAGATTGAGCTTGTAGATTATTGTATTCAGGTACATATTTTTTTTTTGAAAATAACCATCTCCTGTTTGAATAAATGTAGAGATTAGTGACATTTTTGTTTCACTATAGCACCAACTATTAGTATAAATACTACATTCAATAATTTCTATAACTATGGGATGATAATGGGTTTCATTAGTGATGAATTGTCTGATTAGTCAATAGATATTTTGGAAATTTCTAAATTTTTCTAGTTGTAGATATGTCTATATAGGCTAGTGATAGTATAATTGAAACCGAGAGTCTTTAGTGAGTAGACGATCTTTACAAAAATCTTAAAATTTAAATTTTGCAAAAATTAGCAAAATATAAGCAAAATAAAGTACTTTATTAGTATTAAATTAGTAATATTACTAATTTATTACAAAATTATTGCATTATCAGCACTATTAACAACCTAAATTATTAGTAATTTTTAGGCTTTTATTATTACTAATATTTTGCTAATATATTGTAAATATTAGCATTTTATTATTATAATAATTTGCTAATAATTTCTTATACTAAAATTATAATAATAAAATACTAAAAAAGTACAAAATTTGGCAAAAATTAGTACTTTATCAGCACTTTTAAAAAGCTAATTTTTAGCAATTCTAATTTTGAGTATTTTTTGTAAAGATGCTTTATATATTTTCCAAAAGTAACATAGCATCATTATCTGTTTTCTAATTGATTTTGCATATCATGATAATGACTATGACTATCAGGATATAAGTCTGAAAAAAGTAGTGGTTCAAGATACAGATCATTTAGAGCAATTGGAATTCTGTTCATGTTATCATTAGTAATAAATCCTGCTACTAGATGTCAATAATTTGAATCTTTATCATGTGTTTTATTAGAAAAATTTTAATAGGGAACTATTATGTCACTATGATAAAAGGAAGGAGTATTTTCATCGATAATTAAATGAACAGCTAGGGAAAATTAAATATTAGAATTTGAAATTGATGGAAGCATTTGTAAGTATTGGCATATATAGAGATTGTTTGCTTTAAGCTAATCAGTAATATTTATTAGAGAATCATGAAACCAAGGAGGAAGTACAGATTGAGTAGACGAGGAAGCAAGATAAGAGCCTAGTAAACCTGAGTATAGGTTAAGTGAGTTAAGATTCTGTGAGTAATTCATAGTTCCTACAAATGATCTATATTCAGTAAAGGAGTTTGCACCTGGTGTTCAGCATAAAAAGCAGTGTAAAAAGATAAGAGAGAGGTGTTTTTGTAATCCTAATAGTACAGATTCAATTTCTGTTGGAATTGAATGTAGATATAGTGAGTAGTTGCATGTTGGATTTGATTTACATATGGAACATATTGCAATGCAATTGTTAGGTAATACAGAATTTGTTACTAATAGCATGTAATTTTCAAGTAGATAAGAAGTATTAGAATCTCGATGAATCTATATTAACTTTTCTAGATATATAAGTTTAGAGCAAATAGAACAGGGGACACATAGAAATTGAGATAGAATATCATTTTTAAATTTATTTATTAGATCTTATATTTTTTCTGAAATTTGCCATAGGGCATATCTGAACAAGATGAGTTATTTGATTGGAAGTTAATTTGGTTAATTGGTTGTAAGTTATTGTTATTTAATAATATTAAGTCAATTATTTCTTTATTGTTTTCTAAGGGTTCAAATTCGAGAATTCTGTATATATAAAATGATATTTTTAGATAAGTTTTAAAGTAATTTGATAATATAATTATTGAGTGGAGTGAACTTTACAAATGATAAGATCAGAGTAGTTTATTTGAGATTATTTTTGGGAATTTTAGGAGAGTATTTATACTTTCAAAAGTGTTAATATATAATTTAGTATAAGTTTTATTTTATTAATTAAAAAATTTCTTTTTAGAATAGATTTCTCATTAAATTAGAATGTAGCAGTATTAAATCGTAATAGTTAAAGTAGGTGATAGCAATAATTCAGTTTTATAAATATGTAATAAATAAGAAAATTAAGTATTTTATTAATAGTAATTCTTTTTAAGATATGAGTTTCCTGTTATAGCAATTATTTAGGAAAGTGAGTCATAATTATAATTTTCTATTTTTAGTTAGTTGTAAATAAAAATAGATTATTTTTTAATTTGTATTGTTTTTTTAAAGTTATTTTTATTATCTACTTAATGATAATAATAATTTATATCTCTGAATGATTACTAAATTTGAATTTTAAAAAAGTGAATAGTTGTTTTCTTTTTATCATATTGCAGTTATTATAGTATTAGTATTATGAAATAATAGTAAAGTATAGAATTGAATAGTTGTTCAGATATTTTCTAATAAGTTTAATAATTTTTTTTTTAGTATTTTTCAATAATGATCATTAGTTATTGAGTTTTATTTTTTTGGAGATGAAGTATAATATGAGTGTTGTAATATTAAAATAAGCAAATCTTAGATAAAATTTATATGTTTTAGTTTTGCAGTATTCTTTGTATCATTGATTTTATATTTGTATTAGAAATTAAATGTAATATTATAGCTTTGTATATTTATCTTATTGTTTATTATTATTTAGATATAGTTGAGATATATTTGATTAGTTTAATAGATTGTAGGAGGAAAGTATAATGAGTTTTGTACATTATAATAAATATTAAATATTTTCTTTATATAAGTTTTTTAAATGCTTTATTTATAAGGATCATAATATGCTCGATAGTATTACTATTATAAATTTGGAGAGTGAATAATATTATATAGTTTAGCTCTGATAGTTAATGTGATATTAAGTTTAATAATCTAATTCTATAAGGTAAATAATATCAGTGGAGTATTTAAATTGATAGTTGTTAAGTGGAAGAGATGATAATTTAAGGGTGAGTCTGAATAATATGATATCTATAAGGGTAGTGTTATATACTATAATTACATACTATAATAAAACTAATAATTTTAATATAATCTGAACATTGATCACAATACTAATAAAATAAACAATCATAATGTCTTGATAATGATTGATCCTATTAACAATCCTGCAGTATATCATTACTCGTGATATCTAGAACATCCAATAATTAAATAATGATATTATTTGTGATATTACTTCCTATATAACTTATCAAGAATATAGCTTTTAGTTATTTAATGAAAAGTCTATTCAGCCTTAATGCTTACTTTTTTTATGTTAATTAAAAGACCTAGTATATTCTTTAATAAATAAAGAGAAAAATATGATGAGGAATCAATTATTTAATTAGAAGCATTTATACTTTTGAAATTTAAAGATTCAGAGTTTCTAAAGTAATAGTGATTTATTTTATTAATAGATAATTTAATTTATAACTTTATAACTTGTTCTTTCAGAAGAGCAAGGAGGATCTATATTCATACAAAATTAATTCTTTAGAAAAGATTATACTAATATTAATTTACCTTTTAACACTAAGCTTATCCTTCTCACTAGTGAGTAGTTGTAGTTAAGCCTCATATAATACAAAGCTATACTATTCATCTCTATGTTTATTGTTATCATTTCTATAATTTATTGTTACAGTTTAAGCAATTAGCCCTAACTGCTCGCCTTAATGTTTACATAGATTATTATTACAATTCTTAAATATAAATAAAGGTATGAGCAGTCTAACAAAAAAATAACTATATAAAGTGTAATTAGAATAATGAAAAGGCTAAATAATAATAAAAATAAAAGATAATAAATAAATAAATAAATAACAAAAGAAAAGAAAAAGAAATAATTTAGCAAAAAACCATGATTTATAATGATATACTAATTTATATTCTAACAAATAGTTGATAGTTGAAAGTATAGCCACATAATTTTCTGATTCGATTTATAACTTTGCTTTTATTTTTTTTTTTTTGTATAAAGGCAAATAAATAAAGATAATAAAGTGATGCATATTCAGTTAGTATGATTGTTTATTATTAATTAAATTGATTAAGAGATTTTATATATTGAAAAAATGGAGTTTTATATTTTATTATAATATTGTAAAAATTTATTATATTCTAGTTGTTATAATTTATTAGGAACATATAATGTTCTTTAGTTTATCTAACTAATCAATAGGACAACATTATTTATTTGTATATATTTATTTTGATTTATTATTTAATAAGATCATATTAATATTTGTTTGGTAATTTAACTTTTAATGCATAAGATATATGGTAAAATATTAATCTTAATATTATTGTGAAAGATAATATTTTAATAATATGAATAATTTTTTTTTGTATGTTTGATTTGGTTGAGATTGCAAATACAAGCATATTGATTATTTTAATAATAATAATGAGAATACATTATCAAGTAAATATTGTACTTTCTGTTTTATTAGAATATTGAATTATTTGACTAGAGATAATAAGTAGTAGGTAGATAGTAAGTAATTTTAAAATTTAGATTACATAAAGTATTAATAATGTTTCTTAATCATTTTAGTAAAATGATCTTTAATCAAAAAAAAAGTTTGAATATGAATTCAAGTATATAATATATATTTATTTGTCATATATAATATATGTATATATATATTTGTATATATGTATATATAAAATATATAAAATAATAATAATAGATGATAAAAAAAAATTACATGTTTTATTAACAAATAATGAACTACTTAAAAAAGAAGTGTTTTGTATGTTGATGAGTTTAATACAAAAAAAGTAGTTATTTATTCAGTAGTAGCTTGATTAGATGTACTTGAGTTAGTAGCTTAATCAGATATTTTTGAATTAGTAGCTTGAGTGAATATATTTGAGTCGATAGCTTGATTAGATATACTTGAATTAGTAGTTTGATTAGATATATTTGGATCTAAAATATTATTTAAGATATTACTTACTAAGTCAGTTACTTTTGAATGGGATTTGATTTTGAGATATGGTTTTGAGGTGATAGAAGTTTTTTTTTGTCTAGTGTTTTTCTTAACTCTAGTAGCTAAAATCTTAGCAATAGTAGTTTGTAGATTTGTATTGTCTTAATTGTTAGATTCCTATGAGAATTGAGTTTGATTATTATTAACAACTGTATCTAATTTTAGGTATTCTGGAAATAAAAGATTTTATATATGAACTATGATGTCATTATTAGTTAACATGAGTTCTCTATTAATATAAAGTACTGAATGTTTCTTTATAATAGTAGTTACATTTATCAAACATTGTGTAGAAGTGAGATAATAACATATTATTTCAATATTGATGTAATCTTGATCTATGTAATTTCTAACTGAAATATTTATAGTTATATCTTCATTTTCAATTTTTAGATCTTCTTGAACTAATGTGGTTATATTGATTAAAAGTGAAAAAGCAGGTAAGTCATTAGGATCAATAGTATTCAATTGAATAATATCATTTAAGACAATCTTTGAATTCACATTTATTATTATTGTTGTTATTACAAAAAAAAAAAAAGATTAATTAGACTTTTTTTATTTTTATTTAATTTTGTTAATATAGTTATTTTTATTTTTTTATTATTTTTATTAAAAAAAAATTAATTATTTTTAAAATAGAAAATTTTTTGTTATCTTTGTTTATATCTTCAATAATGTGAAAATTTCTAGTAGCAAGTACTATATCTTCATTTTCAAATTTAGATAAATTCAATTCTTTAATCACATTATAAGAATAAAATCTAGTTAAGATTATATTTAAGGATGAGTTTAAACTTTGAGACCTTATGATACCTGAAGCTTCGATGATAGAAAGGTTTTTATTTGCAATAGTTCTTTTATGATAACTTGTTATATAATATAGTACTGTGATAGAAGCTGGCATTTTTGATTTTTATTTTATTTTTATTTTTTTTTATTAAAACAATTTGAAAACAAATAAGTAATTGTTGCAGGAAGAAAAAAAATATATTTTTTTTTTTTTATAAAAAAAAAGAAAATAACACAAATTAATACTATTTATTATTAATAATTATTATCAGTAAATATGTAATTCAAAAAAAAGAAATAGAAGAATTGAAAGTTTTGAAATCAGTGGAAATTTCTTTTGAATGTCTAGCTTATTTTCAAGTAAATTTTTTTTCATGTAAAAAAAAAAAATTATCAATTTCCTTTTTTATTATTATTATTGTTATTAGTATATAAATAATAAAAAAAAAAAGAAAGAAAACTCGGAATAGTAAGTATTTGTGTATTATTCTTAATCTTAGTATCTATTTTTCTTTAAAGAAATAAAATAAATAATATGATTTTTTTTTTTTGCTGTATAAATTGAATAACACTCGTAGGTGTTATTTTGAAAATTGAGTTTTTCAAAAATAAAATTAGTGAATTAATGTGTATCTCATTAAAATATAAATTTATCAGTATGATAATAAATACTTTGTTAGATTAGTGAATCAATCTTTTAAAATAAAAAATAATATGCAGATGGTATTATTTCAAGTTTAACATTATTTTTAAAGGATCTGCTTATTGGAATAATACTATACTTGTTATTCGAGTTTTTGTTTTATGTGTAATCTAAGTGTAGTAAGTTCTGATAAGATTCTTGTTTTTATTTTATTTTATTTTATTTTTTTTTGAAATAAGAATTTTAGTAGAGTTCTTAGCATATAGTTATAAGATCGAATAGTCTTTCTTAATTAAATAAAATAATTAACATTAATTAAGTAGTTTTTTGATGAGCATAAAAAGCTAATTTTAAGTTACAGAGTGTTAGTATTACATAATTAATCAAATACTAAATTAAATGTAGTTGTATGCACGTATAGTTTAATGAGTATAAATGAAATTATGTGGTAGATCATAAGGTATCTATATGCACAATTAATCAAATACCAAATTAAAAAAAAATTATAGTTATTTATATATTTTACATATATATCAATTTTTTGAATTTAGAAAGATTATCAAATTCTTTTCATTATGAACATTTATTATAGTCTTTAATAATTAATAATTATCAATTCATCTACTCAGTAAATTATTCAGTAAAGAGAAAATAAAAAATATGAAAATATTCTTTTACAAGCCTAAACAAAAGGTCAATATAAGAGTTAAAGTAAAATATTTTAGTAGTGCATTTGTTTTTTTTTTCTGGTAAAAAAAAAAAAGTACTATGGCAATTGAAGCTGCAGTTGTAATTGCAATAGCAGTTGCAATAGCAGTTGCAATAATAGTTGCAATATCTAAAAGAATATATATATATTTTATAAAAATACCAAATAAAAATTTCCTTTTTTAGAATTGCAAGGAAATTTTCACTGTAAATCTCCTGTATAATGATATTTACGAATTATAAAAAAATTAACAATCTGATCTATGCTCAGTAAATACAAGTAAAAAAACTTGGAATAATCTAGTATATATATCTATACAATAATTACACTATACACATATATATGAAAAATAGACCTGTTAAAATTGAAAACCTTTAATTAGTGATAAAATGCTCTTTAAAATTACTACTATTAAAAAGTATTTTTCTTGATTCACATATAGTTAACTTTTATTTTATTGTTAAAAATGATACTTATTTATATCATATGATTATTTCAACTAGTTCTAGAATAGTTTTGAACTGTCACAAAAAGTTTAGTTCAGACCTGATACGAACTAGTTTACTGTGGACTACTTAATATACCTAATTCCCAGTCTATATGCTTTATGCAATAAAGTATTAGAATTTCTATCCTAATTCAAGCCCAAGTATTAATGTTAACCAACTAATTAACTTTTGAGAAACTCAATCTAAATCTCTTGACTAAAACTTGAACTGAAAATTAATTTGTCATAACATATTTATTACTTCAATTTATTTTATTTGTTCTTTCAATTTCTTCCACCCCTTCTGAAGTATAGTTGTTAGGCAAAACTACCTTACAAAAATAGTGAAAGACTAAACCTAAACCCAAAAAAGGCAAAACTGATGAAACTCTAGTGAAAGACAAAATGAAACACCTGGCAAAAATAAAAACTCAGAAAAAGATAAAACCTCTAGTGAAAGAAAAAACCTCTAATGATAAAAAGAAAATTCCAATAAAGGTAAAACTATAGTAAAGATAAAATGACTAGTATCTGAAATTTAATAAATACCAAGTCTAAATGATAAAAGACTGAGTTACAGTAGATAAAAAAATAATTTGAAAGATCAAGTTCTTTGAATGAAGACATCTTAATCAAATTTAATAGAAAATTTTTTATAAATTTGTAAAATTAAAATAAAAAATTTTTATCAAAATTTATTAGGTAGTTGTCAAGATATTTTGTTCAAAAGTTAGAAAAAAACTTAGAACATCTAAAATAGAAAATGCATCTAATTTTTTTAATATTAAACAATATCTATCTGATAAATTTCAATAAAAATTTTTTTTTTGTTATTTTTAAGTCTGTAGAATTTGAAAAAAAAAATTCTATCGAATTTTAAGATCAGGTAGCTTTGAGATATCTTCATTCAAAATTTAAAATTCTAGTAAGCATATTTTGACAGATGCTTTGAGATGTTATACTATATGAGCAATGACTTCTTGATAACTACCTAATCATCATTTTTAAAAAAGAATTTTTTTACTTTAATTCTAAAAGAAACAAATTTATTTAATTATTTGGATTTTTTAAATTTTATCTTACTAATTTAAATTTGAAGTTATGGTTTTAAATGTTTTTGGTTAATCTAAATAATAAACATGATTCTGTTTGTTGTATTCGTGATTCAAAATGTTTTTGCTTGATTTAGACAGTGACAATAAATATAACTCTGTTGTTTTTGGGCATATGTTAATATGATACATATAATATAATTATTATCTTCTGTGTTTTAAAATACAAATATTTGCAACAACATAGCTTTGCCTAAATCATTATACAATCTGGTTAAATCATAAATTGCTATATTATACAAAAATTGATGTCACTATATTTGAGCTTTGAAGATTATGTTATAACTTGTAAGGCTTATCTATATGATTCAAGTCAACATCTGCTAATTGGATTATTTTAATATGCAAATTTAAAATGCAAATATAATATTGATATGTATTAATATTAGTAAAGTTTACTGTATATTTTGTTTGTATATGAGGCTATGTAAGGCTGACGTGTTAGTATAAAGCCTCTAATAAGTCAGGTCTCTCAAGATATAAAATGTATAAGAGTATAGATTGTTCTGTTAATATTAATAAAAAGGTATTGGTGAAAGAAGGAGCTCTCATCCTTCTTAATAAAGTAACATAAAACAATGATTTGACTTTTCTTTATTCCCAACAATTGTTAATATTTAAATCTCACATTGTGATTTATTAACGTTAATCAGTTTTATTCAGAATATGAACATAAATACATATTATTAAATGCTTATTTACGATTAATTATGATTAATTATTTAATGCTCTTCAAATTATTTCATTCAGAAGATGAGTATAAAGATAATTTGTTAATGTTAAGTAGTGGAATTAAAATCATAAACATAAATACTTATTCGTAAATACCTATCACTAACTGCTAAATACTTATTTACGATTAATTAATTACTTAATACTCTTCAAATTATTTCATTCAGAAAGTGAGTATAAAGATGATTTATTAATTAACATTAATTAGTTTCATTGAAATAATAAACCATAAATACTTATTCATAATTACTTAACTCTAAAGACTTATTTACAATTAATTAATTACCTAATACCCTTCAAATCATTTCGTTCACATTAATTTAGTCAGTGAGTATAAAGATGATTTATTAACGTTAATCAGTGGAATTAAAATCACGAAAATAAATACTTATTCATATATACTTGTTCGTGAATACTTATTTACAATTAATTACCTAATACCTTCAAATAGTAGGTGAGTATAAAAATGATTTATTAACGTTAATCAGTGAAATTAAAAACATGAATATAAATACTTATTCATAAATACTTAATTCTAAATACTTATTTACAATTAATTAATT